TTTGACAAGCTAACATATTTCAACACCTTTTTACACGGTACATTTAGATATATTCAACCGATTGCATCATTTCACACTTGCAATTTGGGCGGTCGGGTAGCCTAGTGGTTAAAGCGTTCGCTCGTCACGCAGAAGACCCGGGTTCGATTCCCGACATGGGTACAATGTGTGAAGCCCATTTCTGGTGTCCCCCGCCGTGAGATTGCTGGAATATTGCTAAAAGCGGCGTAAAACCATACTCACTCACTCACACTTGCAATTGAAAGCACATCACAAAGGTGTATTTCGTATAATGGATGGTACATAATGGTATTTAGAAAGTCGTTAAAAGAAAAATATGTTTGTCGATTTCTATTAATATTCTAGACCTCTATTTATGTGGAGCTGTTTCACCACTTGACCAACATAAATAATTCTTATCACGTTTATTGTTCCAACCGTGTATTATTTCCCACACAAACATTCAGCCAAATACGTGTAGCTGAAACCCACTATCAACATGAACCCGTTCACATGTGCATCACGTGTTGTACCCACGATATCTCGAACTCATCCGATATCATCCAACCGCTTGTGTCATTTCGCCATAGGTGAGTGAGTGTGTGAGTTGGGTTAGACGCCGCTTTTAACAGTATTCCAGTTTCCGTGTCACCTTAATGTGGGAGGAAAGCCCGAAGTGAAGCAGGTCTCAGAAGTTTACCACTTCGGTGAAACCCATGGTGCTGACAAACCTAGAAACATAATCGGGGCGAACCGGGATTCGAACCCACAATCGTAGGTGTCTGGCGTGCCCAAGGGACGCAACTCTGCCCCCTTCGCCATAGGTGTAGTTGGTTGTGTTGGTGGGTTGACTCCATGCCAGCGTTGAATTATTTATGTCAAAGAAAGACCGCCATTAGCGTCTATTCGTGAAAACACGGTTTTTCGTTTTTTCTTTATGACATAAACGCCAGTACGATCTACGCAAAGATTTTATTTCATTATTACGATGCCTATTACCCAATGTTATAAATTCAATGCCTTTGTTCACCTATAATGTATAATGGGGTGGGACAATTCCCCACAAGTGCCTACCAAAAAGTCCATCAATATTTTAATGAATGAACAATATTTTATTGTATGGATTACATACAGATCTCTCAAAGTATACTGAACCGAAAAAGAAACGTCACCATGGATGGATATATGAGAAAGCTTATGTCCAAACACTGTAAACACACTTTGAGACATATTAAAAAGATGAAACTGATGAAACTTGGCAAAACTGATCATCAGGGTTGAAATTAAAGTGTCAAATGTTCTTAAAGTGAAACACAACACAAGTCTCTGAGAAAATGGCAATCACAAGTCAGTATTTCGTGTGTGATTATATATCATGTGCTTTGATGACTGCCGTGCAACGTCGATACATGGAATGGATGAGGCGGTTGATGAAAGCCACAGGCACTTGAGCCCACACTCTCAGGAACGCCTGACGCAGTGCAGCTGCAGTTGTCGGCCTTGGTCGGGCGTCATTCAGCCTTCTTTGAATCTCGTCCCACAGGTGCTCAGTGGGATTTAAATCGGGACTGAGGGAAGGCCACTGCATGGTTCTGATGCCATTCTGCTGAAGGAAGTCTTTTGTTGCTCTCGCAGAGTTGGCACGGGCGTTATCATGCTGAAAGTCGTGGTTGCGGCGACGTGCCAAATGAGGTACGGCGTGTGGTCTCAAGACTAGATCAATGTACCGAGCTGCTGTGACACCATTACCTCTCCCTGGACCGATGTTGTGGAAGTCCAGGGGACCGACCCTCTGTGCAAGACCAATTCCACCCCACACCATGATGCCCGGACCACCCCACGAGTCTCTCTCAACAACACAAGCATCCGAATAATGTTACCCACGGCGTAGCCAGACTCTCTCTGTGCCATCTGCTGTTGAGATTCAGTGACGGCTCTCGTCTGAGAAGAGGACTCTTCGCCACTGCTGGTGGTGCCAGTGCTGGTGCTGTGTTGCCCGTGGTGTCAGAATGGGTCCTTGGTGTGGCCTGTGACAATGGAGGTGTCTGCTCGTCAATCGTCGACGCACGGTGTCCGCACTAATGTGTCGCTGGTGTGTCCCCATGGTCTGTCGATCAGCTTCCGCAGCAGTAACAAAGCGAAATTGAAGATGCTGCCGCACAGTGTGACGATCCTGACGTCGGGTGGTGACCCTTGGTCTTCCACTACGTGGTCGGCCATCTGTAGTGTTGGTGACCTGGTACCGTTGCTGGAGCCTGTATATGGGCCTTACGTGGACTTGAAATGCATTGGCTACTTGCCGGGCGGTTTGTCCAGCTTGCAATCGTCCAAGGGCTTTGTGTCACTGATTTCTTGTCAATCTCGGCATGTGGTAGCAGTTCAATAACGTTTGGTTGTTGGTTTGTTGTTGAACGCCGCACTCAGCAATGTTCCAGTTATATGACAGCGGTCTGTAAATGATTGTGTCTGGACCAGACAATCCAGTGATCAATATCATGAGCATCGATCCACGCAATTGGATCGATGACATGCATCAACCAAGTCAGCGAGCCTGACCACCCAATCCCGTTAGTCGCCTCTTACGACAAGCATAGTCGCCTTTTACGGCAAGCATGGGTTGCTGAAGGCCTATTCTACCCCGGATGTTTATGAAGGGACCATTAATTAGTCAACATATATTTTATCTAATGTTTGTCTTTCCCGTAACAGCTTTTCTGTAACACTTAATGTGTTACAGCTAAGACAGATTTTGTTACGGTTATGACTTTCTTCACTTAATAAGCTATACAGAAACAAAGTAATTATTTTCTGTTCTTTTTCAACATTCCAACTGAATATTTGAATTCAGCAGTTTGAAGGACAAAGTTGTATTTTATTATTTTGTGCAACATTGTCGGAACATGATTTTTATAAGAAATGTGTTACAGTAAAGACATATTTTGTTATTGTAAGGACATTTTTCATTTGAAAAGTTATAAAGAAACAAAGTAAATTACTCTCTGTTCAATTTTCAATTCTAATTAATTATTTCAATTCAGCAATTTTTAGGATAAACTTGTACTTTTTATGCAAAATTATTGAAACACCAAAATGTGTTACGGTAAAGACTAGTGGTGGAAAGACAAAGGCTGAAGCAGCTGTGAGTGATGGAAAGATGGTGAAGTTTTGTTTGTTTTGTTGGTTGGTTCAGATAATAAACCAACCAACCATTACTGAAAGACAGTTAACGTTCCTTCTTTCTAGAAATATCATGAAATGTTGATGTATTTATTTGTTACGTAACGCCTAACTCAGCAATATTCCATCAAGATGACGGCGGTCTGTAACAATCCAGTGATTGACATCATGAGCATCGATCCACATGATGTCAATCGCTGGATTGTCTGGAACAGACTCAATTATTTACAGAACGCCGGCAGATAGCTGTTGATGTAGATGGCGGGTAGTGTGTGGTTGACTAAAATCTGCTTCGTTGTGTGGATAATAAATGACAGCTTTCACCTGGTAGGAGTGTTAAAGAAATAACTCCCTCTTGAATTTTGTTTCTTTTCATAAACATGCATTCCAAATATAAATATGCATATGACGAGGAATTAAGCGTTTTTGAAACAGCATTTCGCAGGAATAACCCCCAACCCCCAACATTCGACAACAGCTGTTACACTGACTGAAATATCGTTTATTGTGTGAGGCACAATAAAATTATAACAAAATTCATGTTTCATTGTTTAGTACACATTTTAAATTATAAGATGTTTACTATTTGTCGTGCAAAGTACACTATTTATGATGACATATTTCATATTTGTATTGTTTATCACACTATTAGTTACAACATGTGTACATGACAGTTAGCTCGGACAGAATGGTTTGTTAGTTGGTTTGTTGTTTAACGCCACACTCAGCCATACTCCAGCTATATGACGACGGTCTTTCAATAAGCGAGTCTGGACCAGAAAATCCAGTGATTAATATCATGAGCATCGATCCAAGCAACTGGGATACGATGACATCAACCTCGTCAGCAAGCCTAACCACCCAACCCCGTTAGTAGCTTCTTACGACAAGTTGGTTGGTTGGTTTGGTTGGTTGGTTGTTTAACGCCGCACTCAGCAATATTCCAGCTATATGACGGCGGTCTGTAAATAGTCGAGTCTGGACCAGACAATCCAGTGATTAATATCATGAGCATCGATCCACGCAATTGGGATCGATGACATGCATCAACCAAGTCAGCGAGCCTGACCACCCGATCCCGTTAGTCGCCTTTTTCGACAAGCGTAGTCACCTTTTACGGCAAGCATGGGTTGCTGAAGACCAATTCTACCAATTCTACGAATTCTACGAAAAGTATAGTGGTCATTTACGGCAAGCACGGTTGCGGAAGACCTATTCTACCCCGGATCTCCACGGGCCTCCATGTAAACAAGAACTCTACTCTAGTGAATCATGCACAAAAGTACAAGAACTCGCTTATTGAAACATAGACATGTATCACTGTTTGGTCGTTATGCAGCACACGAACACATGATTTAATGATGCAAGGTACCTGTCCTAGCTCGTGTGTATGCTTGGTTGATGATAGTCGGTACAAATATATGTGAATATATACGCTGCCTCATTTTGATGCGTCTTTCACAGTGCGCTTCGACAAAGTAGATACATAACGACTGCACCTTCCCTTCAAACAAACACAGGCAAACTTTGAAAAATGAAACAACTTTGTGTGCACAACTAAAATTCAAAATGTCTACTTCGTGTGCAGAAACCGTTCCAGATATCAATTCAATACACGTACAAACACATGGGAAAAGGTCACAGCTTGCAGACATGAATACTAAGAGATCGCGGTTTCAGCTTAACTTTGCATATTAATCTGGTTAATCTGGCTGGTTAATTAATATTCTCTGGCATTGACATTTAAAACAATGGTTGTTTACGAGAAGAGTATTGCTTGATAACAACATCTGGTGTCAGATAATACCAACTATTTGTTGTAGGCTGGTGTCTGGACCTTGTTCAACTTGGGATTTGGCATAGACAAAGACCACACATTTCAGCAAGAGGTAAGCTCATGCCCAGATAGTATTCGGACGTTGGCCCAACGTTGGCCCAACGTTGTTACAACGTTAGGTCGCATTGCGGAATTAATTGACAGCTTCTCATAGAGGGCGCTGCATTTTTTGCGCCTCTTTACTAGCAGACGACGCGACACAAGCACAAGCTCCATCATCGGAATACTGTTTTCCTCGAATATATATAGAGGTAAGTGTTTAATTAATATCTTGTTTTATTATATACTTCAGTGTGAAAGACTGAGTTTTCTGAAGTTGAGAAAAGTGATATTTTCATTGCAGTGAACATAACACTTGATATTTCACTGCAGTGAACATAACACCTGATATTTCACTGCAGTGAACATGACACGTTGACGGAACTATGTTGGCCTACACGAGACAGCTCGTACACAAACTGTTGATTTACGTCAGTTCAACGTTGACAAGTCATATAATGACAGATGGTCATTTATGTCGTTAATACCGATTCTTACCGTTTGTTATTTTGTTGAAAATGATTTGTATTAAACTGTGAATTTCTCTTCTGATTTGTCAGTCGATACTTTACGTTTCGCAAAGCGCCATTTTGTTACTTGAATTGCGTGTATTCTTTCGCTTCGAACAACCGTCTCATTGATTTGAAATTTATTTTTTGATGAAGTTGATTTTGTATATAATCATATCCAAATTTATACTAAAGAATTTTAGTGACATCAAATATTTTTGGTTACTTTTGTTTATATTTTTTAAGATTTACCAAAGACGGAACTACATTTTTAGTCGTACTTACAGAGGGTGGAAAACCGTCTATGTGTGTTATGTAGGGAGAATTTACGCTTGAAGGTTTTACATTTGTAATGAAATAATTTAATCTTCCTGCAGACAACTACACCAAAAGTATATAATAAATAGGATATTTCATGTGTCGAGTGAAATATCATGTTTCTCTCATCTCGCCACTCGTGAAAATATCTCCTTCCCCCCCCGTCACTCGGTGAGAGAAACATGATATTTCACTCGACACATGAAATATCCTCAATATATAATGTTCAAACAGTATCCGAGAAAAAACAACCATTGTTCATTCAGAAATATCAACTCGAGTAGATCTAATTATTTTCAAGAAATTGAAAACACCACGTTCACTAACTTTAAGACCGAAGCCGAATAGGAATATGTCACTCTGATTGCACTCTGATCTGAAAAAAACTATTGGACCTACTCCAGTCAAAGTTGGTATGAGATTATTAAACAGTCATACATAACTGGATATTACATTTAAAGACAATCGGTGCATGAATAAAAAATCTGTATTGCCACATTATTACATTTCATGCATCATGTTATTAGATGTAATATATCAAACGTAATTATTCATTTAGACAAATCATTGCTTTATGGTTTCGAAAAAATCGGCTCCATATGGAAATCGCTAGGTTAACCATGTTTGTCAACAATACATCACGTGACTGAAGTCATCAGATGCCACGCGGTTAAAAAAAAGTATGGAAACGTTTTCGGGACATCTCCTATACTATTTTACCATTCGTTCCAATGGTTCCAAGATAGTTATTTATGTTCTTTCAGACCGTTCGTGGTCATTATAGATCCAATATCAGCATTGATGACCTGGATAATGCCTATAAACTTGTTACCGAAGAAAATGTATCTGCACAGAGGGTTGCAGCTAGGCGGGGTGTTCCAGTTTCAACACTTAAAGACCGTCTTCTCGGAAATGTCAGCCTCGACACAGTCAAGTCGGGACCGATGCCGTTATTTACAGCAACACAGAATCATTCTTGGCCAGTCACATTCGGGTTATGGCTATGATTACACTCGTCAGGAGACAATCAACCTTGCGAGTGACTATGCTGTCCACTTGGGATATCGGGATCGTTCTCATCCATTGAGTTTACGGTGGTTGTACAGCTTCATTTATAGATGGCCAGAACTTTAAGTCCAGAAACCACGCAAACTGGAGGCCGCAAGGGCGAGATTGGCGACCAAGGAGAACATTGCGAGGTTTTTGAAGAGCTATCACAGGTCATAAAGAAACACAGAAAGGCCTCTCTACCGACGTTACACCCCCAAGATTGTTGCCGGTGTCAATTGCAAGGCACAGACAGTGACATCGAGGAAGTCGAAAACCGTCACAATGATTGCATCTGTCAGTGCAGTTGGCGGGAATGTTCCTCCTTATTTTGTATTTCCTGGTCAACGGATGAGAGAAGAACTGTTGTCTGAAGGAACAACTGGAGCCTCTGGCACTGTCTGAGACAGGATGGTCGAATACGGATGTATTCAGCACCTACATGAAGGATCACTTGGCGAAATACCTCCCAGCTTGTGACGCAGATTCACCCGTTCTTATATTATACGACGGCCACAAGAGTCACGTGTCACTTGGTTTAATTGAATGGGCGAGGCAAAATCACGTCATATTGTTTGTTCTTCCACCTCATACCAGTCACCTTTTACAACCGCTTGATATCGGGTGTTACGGTCCTTTTGAGACCACCTGGATTAGAGCCTGTCATTCCTTTCTTAGAGAAAATTCCGGGAGAGCCATCAGTAAACACGACATATGCGGGATAACATGTAAAGTGTTCAATTCCACTTTGATGCCTATTCCTTCAGAAAATCTGGAATCCACCAGTTCAACTCAGAGGTTGTTGATGACTTGCTTGTCATGCCTGCCCGGTCTTTTACCAGGCCCCGGCCGTCTGATTCGGAAGGAAATGCGGCTGTTGCCAATACTAATTGTGCTGCACGAGATTTTCTGGAATGTCGGGGTGGCGAAGTCTTGAAGAATGTGAAAACGTTTAAACCAAGAAATACACTGAGTAAAATCGTCGGTGGGAAAGCAATAACTGACCAGACAATACTTGACAAAATTACAGCGCATCGGGATAAACAGAATAAAGTAGGCAAACAGAATCCGCGTAAGGGGACACGGGACAGTCAACGTGATCCATGCACTGACCATCCCAATCAGGCGTGGATATATCTGTGGGAAAATGCAATTCTTCCAATAACAACAAAGCCAAGGGGAAGAGATCTTGTCACGCGGGTACTGCTGCCAAAGCTACGCGCGCACCTGTAGTCCCACCTAGTGACAGTTTCACAGACAGTGAGACGTGACCATGTCTGTTGTGTTTGCGGGAAATTCACTCCTGACGCCTTACGGTACACTAACACATTCACATTGGTGAAGTGGGCAGAGTGCAGCAAATGTTGACATTGGGTGCATCTAGTATTTTGCACGAAGTTACGATTTGTCCGCACTCATACATAAATTCTTTGTGCCCACGGTGCCAACAGTATAAGAGTAAAATTCATAAGTATCTTCAAATGTTCCAGTTGGAGTGACTCATTATGTCTCCCCCAGAATGGAGGGAGACATATTGTTTTTGGCACGGTTCCCGTCGGCGTCGGCGTCGGCGTCGGCGTCGGCGTTCCCACCGTTTCCGGACCATAACTCAGAAACCGTTTAATATTTTTTCGCGAAACTTTGTATACACATTAACCCAGCACTGAAGTGGTGCCTTTTGCTATTTAGAGATTTTTGACATTTTTATTTTTTCTCGTTTCCATGGAGATAAGTTGAACATAGACTCTGAATGGGGGTAAGCTTGGTTTCCGGACCATAACTCCGAAACCGTTTAATATTTTTTCGCGAAACTTTGTATACACATTAACCCAGCACTGACGTGGTGCCTTTTGCTATTGAGAGATTTTTGACATTTTCATTTTTTCTCGTTTCCATGGAGATAAGTTGAACATAGGCTCTGAATGGGGGTAAGCTTTGTTTCCTGACCATAACTCAGAAACCGTTTAATATTTTTTCGCGAAACTTTGTATACACATTAACCCAGCACTGAAGTGGTGCCTTTTGCTATTTAGAGATTTTTGACATTTTTATTTTTTCTCGTTTCCATGGAGATAAGTTGAACATAGACTCTGAATGGGGGTAAGCTTGGTTTCCTGACCAAAACTCAGAAACCGTTTAATATTTTTTCGCGAAACTTTGTATACACATTAACCCAGCACTGAAGTGGTGCCTTTTGCTATTAAGAGATTTTTGACATTCTTATTTTTTCTCGTTTACATGGAGATAACTTGAACATAGACTCTGAATGGGGGTAAGCTTTGTTTCCTGACCATAACTCGGAAACCGTTTAATATTTTTTCGCGAAACTTTGTATACACATTAACCCAGCACTGAAGTGGTGCCTTTTGCTATTTAGAGATTTTTGACATTTTTATTTTTTCTCGTTTCCATGGAGATAACTTGAACATAGACTCTGAATGGGGGTAAGCTTTGTTTCCGGACCATAACTCGGAAACCGTTTAATATTTTTTCGCGAAACTGTGTATACACATTAACCCAGCACTGAAGTGGTGCCTTTTGCTATTTAGAGATTTTTGACATTTTTATTTTTTCTCGTTTCCATGGAGATAAGTTGAACATAGACTCTGAATGGGGGTAAGCTTTGTTTCCTGACCATAACTCAGAAACCGTTTAATATTTTTTCGCGTAACTTTGTGCACATTAACCCAGCCGTGAAGTGGTGCTTCTTGCTATTTAGAAGTTTTTCACATTTTATTTTTTCTTGTTTATGGAGACAAGTTTAACTTAGACTCTGTATTGGGATGGGCTTTGTCTCAGAACTAAACTCAACACCCCTTCAATATTTCTGTGTCTTTTGCTTATAATGAAATTTAAGAATTTGATCTTTTCAATATTATTGAATTCAAAGCAATTCTAGAATTAAAATATTGTGAATTAATTTTGTGGGAATGAACAGATGGGGTTTAACGTGAAGTAAACGAATGAATGGGGGTTAGGGGAGTGGGGGGAGACATATGTTTTTACGAGTAAAAACACTTTCTAGTTTAATATTTCTTAATTGTTGTTGGAACTACGTTGAGTTCCATCGTATTTTCACCAAAAACACTCACGTGTTGTGTATAAAACATAATTTTGGTTATTATCAACGGTGCACCAT